AAAGTCATATAAAATGATTTCCTGTATTGCTGTTAATTATCTGTCATCCTGTCAGTCAAAATCAGTGGACGGCGCAGATTCGATCACCGGTGATCGGCGAGTAGTGCATGACGGTTAGATTTGTGTCCGACTTGACGCCGACTTGCTCTGATGTCATGCCTACGTAGGCAACGATAACCTTGTGAGATCAAGGTGGCTGCAGATTTTGGAGCAAGGCGCTGCAGTTGCTCTCCACCGACTGCACAACCTAGGGGATGACGGGAAACGCCTGGCTCTCACCTGATCTAAGTTCTGATTGGTTGACATTTTGATCCACACATCCGGTGGTTGAATGCAAAATGTTAGTTGGTCACATGTATTCTTTAAATCATGTAATGTTGATGATGACAACTACATAGGCCATAAAGAGGAATGTGGTTTGTGTTCTTTAGTCACGTTTCCTATGAGCACACTAAACCTACACTCCAAAAAGAGATGTGTCAAAAATCAACACAGGTGGATGTGTTAACAGCATTTTGACACATGTTGTGTAGATTTTAGCACACATTGTGTAACTCTCCTATCAACTGACTGACACATTAAAAGTGTTATCTTCCGTGCTTGAAGTTGTGGCAGGAGATTTCACAAATACAACCTGCTGAAACCCAAATTTGTATTAGTATTTTTGTATTTGTTTTATTCATATTATTTATATTAGTTAAACCTCACTGACATGTATACAAATTAGCAAGATAAAATAGAAATTAAATAAGTCTTTACAAATGTAATTAAAAACAAAAGGTAATTTTTACAAATGTCTGGTGAAATCAAACAGAAAAGCTATGCATAGTAAAAAAAAAAATCTGCAAAAAATTACGAAGGTAAGATGATACATCTAAACATTTTCAAAGTTTAACGGCAGCTTTTTGTCATCCAATCATTAGGCTTCTTAAAAAAAAACTACTTCCGCCCGCCAGTTTCAGTCGGTTTGTGTTACTTCAGTCCGCTCATTTCTCCGGACTCTTGGAGGGGATTACAATGGAGGATTCAGATCCGCCTGTAAGTAACATTGTTTGAATGTTGTTTATTAAATATATATATATATAATATTCTAGGTGGCTACGCAGCGTTTATTGACTTGTGCGGTTAGGCAGTACTTGGCGCCACTTAGCATAAGCTAACTAGCTTAACCAGTTTACTTTACTCAGGCTTTCGCTTGCTAGGTTAGATAGTCAAACATTTTCAAAATATATTTACATGTGTTGTTAACGGCAGTGTCCCCAAAGCTGGACGTACACTACGATTTGCTGACCGTTTTGAGCCAATCTCCCTCTTGTTCCACAATTTTTTGGGGGTAAGTTCTGCCTGGTGTAGTGTAGGGGTAAGGAGAGGCGGTTAACACCTCACAACCAGCTCTCGAACAGCCAATCTGCAGTCACACGAATATTAAAAGTGCTTCATATTTTGTTTGTCTCTTGAGGGTATCGCACTGTTGAAGCAACGCTGTGACCCAAAAGTTCCAGAACCGCTCACATAGCGCATGCGTCATGTGAACAGGCTTCGCTAAAACTCTACTACAACACCACTGGTTCCGGGTTTTCAAACTTAAGGGTTTGACATGATGTGTAAAAACTGCTATTTTAGCATGTTTTCATGTCTGTGTTGCGTCCACGCAGTGTGAACAGTCAGGTCACATCCGAACATTGCGTGCTATAGTGTGAGAACATGACTTGTACAGTTTGAGAAGTTAAATGGTACGAGTAAAACCGTAGCACAGCGAATGAATGCCTTGGAAAACGTTAGTTGTTAAACAAAAGTTGCTAAACATTAAACCTTCTGAAGGGGAATGTGATCAAACTAAAAGAAATCGTGATATAACTAAATAAGTTCGATCCTTACGCACTGTGTTTTTGAAACAAAATACCGTAAAGCGCATATTAATATAATTAATTATAAAAAGAAATCTATTTCAAAATAAAATTGTGTACCATATTGATATATTGATTTGACAAGGCCAGTGGTGCTTTTACTTTGAAGGATGATACGGTCGCTATCCGGATGCGTTGCTATTCCTGCTAGCTATCTACCGATCGAAACGACTTGTTTAAAACTTTATATAGCGGCCAGCGAGAATTAACTGTAACGGATCACACGCTCCATCAGACGTTTTTTTGTCTTTTTTAGCTAACGTAAACCGTTTGTATTTGATAAATGAACTAACTTGTTTTTTACGCTTTTCAAACTCCCAGGTCCAAGGCATTTGTTGCCACTGACTACGAGGACACGGAAGCGAACATACATAGTTCTTTGAAAATATTAATTTAGTAAAACTACTACACTAACCCGCCCTGTAACTTGTGTTATTATTAACTTATGTTTATACTGAGTGATACTTTGTTACATGCACAGGTAGCTCCAGTTTGATCACCAAATAAAAATGTCAGTAACTTGTTCAAATGCAGAGGAAAATATGTGAATATCGTTTTTAAAAGGGTAGAAAATGTCATGAGTATAAACCAGTTTATCAAAATGTGTTAAGTTAAAGTAAAACAACATTAGAAGCAAATACAAAAACATTTAAAGCAATGTAAAATATAAATAAAATAGTTGTAAAAAATTAGTCATGTAATGTTGAACTGCATGTTGCTGTAGTTTTTCAACTCCGCTTGAGGCAAACATTATAAACTTGAGTCATTGTATTGCCATTGTTTTGTTGAATAAGCCGTGTTTGGAGATACTACTCATAAAAATATGTGGCCAACCATTTTATATTAAATGAGGAAAACCGTCCTAATTATATTTCGTCTGATAAGATCTAATTTGAGATTTACTTTAATAATAATATTACAAAATAAAAGTAAATAACTTTTTTTTCTGCAGAACCCAGACCTACAACCTGGATCAATCAGAGTGCTTGCTACCATCTTCAAAAATGGAAACGAGTCATCAAGGAAGATTTATACTGTTCACACTACAGAACAGCTAATAACCCACATCATGTCTGAGCAACCATGTTTTGCATTTGACAGAGTTCTGAAACATCATGCTGACTTCCAAGAGTTTGTTGATGTGGACAGAACAACAGACATCAGGAATTTTGACAAATTCCAGGTCTTTCTATCAAGTGTCGAAGCATTACCCCAAACAACTGCTGAAGAGCTCCATCAAATCCAGGTATAAGATTTTCATTTTATTTGTGTTATATTATTTTCTGGGCTGTAGCACTGGAAAAAAAGAAGTGTCACATACACTTGGTAACAGTGAAATTAAATGGCAAGCGATTTTAAATTCCAGTGATGGCCTTCTGCCAGAATGTTTCTTTTTTAGAATTAGGAGGGTTGTGTCACATTCAGACAGACTGTCGGATTTCAGTCACTCTGAATAGAATCGATCAGAAAAAGTGGGGGAGGATTCCTCCTGTTCACAATCTTTGCTCTAGTGTGTTGGTCTAATGTCGTCAATTGACCGATCACAATCGAAGAGACGGCATGCTGCAGACGACGAGGCAGAGCGGCGTTCGCAGTGATCAAGTGCTGTTGCTTTAACATCTCGCTGCAGTTTTGAGCTTAAAGTTTGTAAAATCAAACAAAGTCACCACAAAACAACAGTTTTCTGTTAAGGACTTTAGCAGATTTGCCTTCATAGATTTTCCCAAGGTGTTTTTTTTACGGGCGATACATTTTTTTTTATCTAAAGTGGGTTTATCTTATATCAGAGCTGCTCTCATATGAGCATGTCTTCATCTGCTCTCATGCCACCCCTTCCCAATTTCTCAGGCTGAACAATAATATTTAATCTTTAATAGCACTATAGCCCTCACACTCCCTTACATCACCACTGAACAAGACTACATGTTTCTGCAGCAGGTTGTGGGGGTTCAGCTCAATATAAAAATTTACACTTTGGATTTATTTGTGTATGTTACAAATATTTGCAATAATCAAGCAGTCCTAACTAATGTTTATAATAAATCTAATTTCTTCTCATATCCCCTTTGCTGCCTTCAATCTAGCATCTTCCTGTGGTAAACGAACTGGGAAGTCTGCAGATACTATTACAAAGAAAAGCACCAAAAATACTTGAGGAACACAAAAAAACAGGGAGCCTTAAAACTGAGACAAGGAAGCTCCTTGTCAAAGTTTGCATCAGTCACTTGGTGGAGAAGCATGGATTGTAAGTACATACTTTCATACATACATACATACTACATATATAGAGTGGAAGTGTATACATAGATATGCATTTTTATTTCAGTCATTCAATTCACTAATTTAGATTTTGATTTCTGTTCTTCCATTCAACCCCTTAAGTTACCCAACAAGTGCTGAGAAGGTGACTTTAGCCAAGACAATCATCGCCACTTTCCCATCCTTGAGAGTTCAGATTGAAGGAAAAGGAGAGGGATTTGTAAGTAGAATTTGCCTAAATCCAAAAAGTGTCTTCATTATTAGGGCTGGACGATATAGAAAAAAGCATATAGATAAAAAAAATCAGGTCATTATCAATAATTATTGAAAAATATTGATAAAAAATGTTGAAAATATCTCAAGTGCAGCCCTTCCCATTTTATGCTATTCACTAGCATTACCCAGCAGCGGCAGACAGCTGTGCTGCAGATCATGTGTAAAAATGACAACACTGGTGTGGTGTGTAGCTCTGAAGCTTTGTCCTAAACACTTTTTTTTTTCATTTATATTTTATTGAACATTCAGCAGTCATGTTACATGAGAACCTCTTTTCCAAATACATCCCCAAGTTTCTGCTTGAATAAGTATTTTCTGTGATTCGGTATTTAAAACGGGAAAGAAAAAAATCTAAATATATAGGAAATGGGGGAACTTGGTCTTTAAGCTTTTATTATTGTCAGTAATCCAAACTAATGTTTTGCTGTTGGATTTTTTTTTTCATTCTTTTCCAACACAGGAGCATTTTTATGATCCATTATCACATTCTGGATTCCTGGAAATGAGACTGCGTAATATCCGTCGAAAGCTTGAAGCGGGTCAGCGTCGTTACTCAAAGCGCAAGATAAGCTGTGATACTGGAATGGAATCAGAACAGGACCGGGGGAGAGCAGTGCAACCAATGAGTGGATCACCCTCATGAAACGACTCAGGCCCTCTTCAGAGAACATCTCTTCAATTAAATCTGCTATGGAAAACACGTACACAAGGCGTAGGTCATGGATATCAAAAAAGAATCCCACAATGGCTGAAATTTTGGAAGAATATCCACGCTTTCTGGACATGCCTAATCTGGTAGGCCTCATCATTTTCCTTCTTTAGTTAAAGCAAATGCCTGATGTCATTAATAACTGTTGATGTATAGTTTAAAACAACTTCTCTTTTTATTTAAGCTGGATATTGAGTTCGGAAGAATGACTGATGGCAAGACGGAGCTGTTTATCAGACGATGGGAAGTCAGCATAATTCCAAAACTGAAATCTTTGGCTACCATGGAAGGAGGGGATGTTTCATTGCGAACAGAGGGGATGGAAGACCAAACTGATGGTATGTGTTTTCTCCTTTGAAAGTGTCTGCTGTGTAACACTTATTAATGTATTAATCCTGAATATCTGCTGGTGTGTACAAAATTATCTTGTACAGCCCTTTCAAAATTCTGTCTGTTTTTAAGAGCTATTCCATTCAGAAACTGTTTTATTGGTCACCAAGTTTCATTTGCAGGCAGAATGTGAAAATAGTCTTAACTCTTCTTTCCTGCATTAGCTGCAAATAGAAAATCTAATGGTCCATCCATCTGTCTAAATATGTCCATCCTTACATCTGTCCAAACAGACATGCCAGTCCATTTTTCTGTCCAAACATGCATCTGTCTGTTCATCCATCTTTCCCACACTGCGTTGACCTGACTACAAATATACATCCAAAGTGCTAACTTGCTAAAAGCACTTGTCATCTTTAATATACATCCAAATGCGTCCATCACTTTGTCCATTTTTCCATCTTTTTAACAACGCATGTACCTGTCCATCCATCTGTCCAACCAGATGCTTACTAGGGTTGGGCATCGTTTGATTTTAAATGATTCTGATTCAAATTCCTCATTTTGATTGCAGTTCCTATCGATTCCCGATTCCATCAAGACATGACATGTTTTACATGAGCTAGCTAACCACAGGTCCTACTTGATGAAATAATCTTAACTTCAACATGAATTTTAATTCTATGTAAAATACCATCACCTTCATTTTGACAAAACAATGTTTTGGAGAGAAAAAAAAGAAAAAGACTTGCAGCACAACCAGTGTTGGCAATCTTTTGATTTTGAATATCATCTTAATTTGTCCTTTCAATAAAATATAATAATTACACAATAAATTAGAAAGTTTTAAAATGCCAGAGAAAAACTTATTTTTCTGAGAAACTTCTCAAAATAACGTGTGGAACCCTTCCTCCTCCAATCTGCAATCTCCAGTGTCTGGTGCCTTCTGGTTTAAACCAGCCAATCAGCAAGCAGGTCATTAGCATATTAATTTCCTGGCCAAGTGGGAGGGTTAAATTGCTCTTTTCAGAGCAAGGCTGATTTAGGGGGTTAGAATGGCCTGTATCAATTTCTGAATGGTGAAAACTCCAGAAAGTTACTTTAAGAGTTGTGCCTAATTTTAAATTTGCCTAATTTAAAATTTTTAAATATATTTGTGTGCCTGTTCTATTTTTTCCCCAGATGAAAAGTGCTACACAATGCTGGTTGTTCTCACACATCTTCTGCCACCATTGCCTGGGAGTCGATGCAGCATTAAGTCTGCAATATCGTTCCTGGTTGATTTTGTACCGGTATGTATTCAATTCAATTAAAGTTTGTTTATATAGCACCAAATTACGACAAGAGTCATCTCAAGACACTTAACATGGTAAACATTCCAACACAGGTCAGTTCATTAAGTCGATCAGAAAAAAGTAACCTATATAAGGAACCCAGCCATGGGTTGCTGCCTGGTGGCTGCATTGCCCCTGAGTAGGTCTGGGTGGGTGCCTGGGGGCTCGGGGTGTGGGGGCGGCGGGTCCCTTGTGAGGATCTGGGCGGGGACTTGGGGATGGGGTCCTGACTTGTAAGCTGCCGGGAAGAAGACAGGAACAAGTGGCGGTGCATGGCCTAGGCTCAAGGGCCTCAGGTGGACCTTGGCTCCTCTGGAACAGAGGCAGAGACACAGAGGACTGTGGGGGGAAGTGGGCTTGTGTGGTTGCATCAGCTGGCGTAGGCCAGACAATGCCTGCACTGCCTGTTCACCACAGCCATGGAATACACCTCATCAACACCCACTAACACTGTATTGGAGCAGGTGGAAGAAGACTAGGGGTCTTAACACACCTCCGACGTTTGGCTTGCCAGGGCTGGAGGCTATGAGGGGGAGCTGGTCATCATGTTGGGGTCTGGGGTGGTGGCATGCTTTGCTCGGCGTTGGGTCCCTGTGCTCTGGGACAGCTCCTGGATCTCTGGGACTTGGAGCTCCCTCCATCTCCACATCTTTGGGGGGCAGATCTGTGACCCCTCACACTCTCTATTGTATGCTCCTATAGAGAAATCTTACATTTACAAGCGTGTGTTCGCACACAGGTGCTCACATGGTGCTCTCATAAGTATGGACTTGGGTATTGTCAACACATGTCTTGAGGCTGTGGTTGGCACTAAATGCATTATGATTTATTATCGTGTGATTGTTCAGTAAAACAATGTTGATTTTATATTTCCTCATCAGGTTGACGCAGTGATAGCTTGCTCCTGTTGTACTGTTGTGTGTTTTTTTTTCTCTTTCTGCAGGTTATTGATTGCTTATTCTTGTGGGACCCCCCCCCCCCCCCCCCCCTTGTTTCTTCCTTTCTTTCACCTCTGTCTCTGTGTCTGGTCAAAACTATAAAGCATTGAAAAAAACAATAACAATAAAGTTTTAAGTATCAGGCGTGACATTAAAGCAGAAGCTTTGATGCTCCACCTGAGAGTAAATCTGTAGGGCTTGTCACCAGCTTTAGACATTAATTCTGTTTGCTTCATAGCCAAACAGAACATGGGGGAAAGAATAAAGCTATTCCCTTTGATCTCACAAAATTCATATATTATTCTATCTTGCAGGCTGGGACCAGCATTGCGTCCCTCTGCAGCAACTCTGAGGTGGCACAAGGCACCCAACCACAGTTGATCTGCATCGGCAATTTGAAGAGTGCAACTCGCCAGTACATTATCGTTGCAAGCAATGACGGTGTGACCATTCCAGTAAATGATGGCCTGACATGTGCATTGGACAAGCTGTTCAAGCTCTACTGGGTTTGCAACTTGGCCTATCCACCCCAGCTCAGCTCTGTGTTCACTTTCTTCGAATACATCTACGAAGTTACCATCTCAACCAACCGGAAAGCCAAGGTACTGGAACTGATCTCCAAGCTTCAAGCTGCACAGTAAAGCACTATCATGTACACATGTCCAAAGTGTAAACAATTGATATCGACACAAGTTAAGACAGTAATTTGGCATCTGCGTGAAGTTCATGCCTTATCAGATGGACAGGGTTTCACTTTAATTTGCAGCCAAGAAGGCTGCCCTCGGACATATCAGAACTTCAATTCTTTTTCTAAACATCTTCATCGGGACCACCAACCCACAACATTAATGGACACTGTGCCATTTCAGGCTCATGACAGCAGATCATCTGCATCATCTGAAACTAACACTTATAATATTGAGGAAACATCAAACGTTTCAACTGTACCATTAACACCTACTCTTTCCAGTGATTGTGTTGCTTCTTTTGTAGCAAAAATGTATTCTTCTTCAAACACAACTTTGATGGATGTAGCAAGAAGCATTACTTGCACACAAGAAGTACTTGAAAGAACAATTGAAAGTCTACAACAATCGACAACTACATTGCTGAATAACTTCCAAGTACCACTTCATAGTGAGTCTGTCCAGTCATTAATGAGTGAATTTGAGAGTGCTAAACATATGTTTAAAGATGTTGACACACCTTTTAAAATAAATAAGTATTTCTCAGAAAATTTTGATCTTGTGAAGCCAAAAGAAATATTTCTTGGTCATAGGGCAGACACAGCAAGAAAACAGGGACAAATGAAACAAGTGTTGGCAGCTGACACATGTCAATACATTTCAGTAATTGATACTATTAAATTTTTATTCAGTAATGTCCAGATGCAGAAAGAATACTTGCAAAGTAACAAACAATTTGATGGTAAAATGCACAACTACTGTGATGGGTCACACTTTTCCTCTCACCCATTGTTTAGCAGATGTCCTCAAGCTCTTCAAATACAGTTGTATTTTGATGATTAAGAAACTGTAAACCCCTTGGGCTCCAAAACTAAAATTCATAAAATGGGTGCTGTTTATTTTGCCTTAAAGGATCTGCCACCAAAACATAATTCGTCCCTCTCACATATTCATTTATGTCTTCTTTTTAATTCTATGGACAGAGACAAATATGGGTTTGGTAAGATTTTGGAACCACTGCTTGATGACGTCAAACTTCTTGAAAGATCAGGTGTACAGGTAGAGATCCAAGGAGAAAGTTATCAGCTCTATGGAACTATCTGTGTTTTGACTGCAGACAATTTGGCCGTCCATTCCCTATGTGGGTATGTTGAGAGCTTTTCTGCAAACAAGTTCTGCCACTTCTGCCTTGTTGATAAAAATCTTGCGCAGACTGTTTTTGATGAGGATGAGCTTGAGAAACGCACTAGAGAGAATTATCAGCAGCATGTCTGGCATAATGATCCTAGCTCAACTGGAGTTAAAGAAGACTCCTGTTTGAATAAACTGCAGTATTTCCATGTGACAGAGAACACATGTGTCGACATTATGCACGATATTCTCGAAGGTGTAGCCCCTTTAGAGGTGAGATTAATGTTACACCACTTCATTTATGAAGAAAAGATATTTTCTCTTGAACTGGTTAATCATAGAATCACCAGTTTTGACTATGGATATGGAAATGAAAAAAATAAGCCAAGTGCTATTCTCAATCTGAGAACTTCTGACAATGCAATTAAACAAACAGCATCACAAATGTGGTGCCTTTTGCAGGTGTTGCCCTTTTTAATCGGCAATCTTGTTGACAGGAAAAGTCAACATTGGCATTTGTTTATCCTGCTGAGGGAAATATGTAGCATTGTCTTTGCACCAACTGTCACACTAGGGCTTGCTGTATTTCTGAAACAGCTCATTATAGAGCACCATGTATTATTTAAAAAAATCTATGACAGAAATTTGATTCCTAAACACCACTTTATGATTCACTATCCAAGGATGATTGTTATGTTTGGACCCATTTCTCAACTATGGTGTATGAGATTTGAGGCAAAACACAATCCATTAAAAAGACATGCCCACGTGGTTGGCAACTTTAAAAATATTTCTAAAACACTGAGCTATAAGCATCAGGTTCAGCAGATGTATAGTTTCAAGTTAAGTGACCCTTTTTCTCAGAAAATAGATGTCACTAACACATGTCTTGTTACGATCAGCTCTTTGGAGAAAGCAGAAGTAATACTGGACAATCTCAGAACAATACACCATGACTTGACTTTAAACAGCAGTGTTTATGTTACTCACACTGTTGGTGTGCTTGGGCAAACTTACAAAACAGGCACTGTACTGACACTTAAAGTAAACAATAAAGGAGACCCTTTGTTTGGCGAGATCATCTGTATCATGCCACAGACCGATACAGGATCAGTTATGATATTTGTGAAAATCATAACAGTAAAGTACTCTGATGAACATTTTTATGCGTATGCTGTAAAAGAAACAAACGACTATGAAATGATCAGCATGGCTGATTTGGCACATTATAAGCCTTTAGACATAATGTTAGCTTTTAAAACAGATGAAATGTATTTGAGCCCAAGATACAAAATGTTTTAATTTCTTAAAACAGGATGAACAGATATATTATTGAACATGTTTTAAAAAGACAATACATTCTTAAGACCTAACAAAATGTATAACAGAGAAATGATACTTCTGCAAATGAAACATTTAAATTTTCTGACACTTGAAACAAAAAGTTATGATTGGTGGGATTAAAAATGTCTATTGTTCTCAGCATGTAATAAACTTAGAAAAGGTATCATTACTGCAAAAAGTGTTTGTTGTTTGGTTTGTTTAGTAATCAGTTTATTGCTGGTATTGCATGGTTAAAGTTTAAAGCACTAAATGGTTTAAAAAAAGCACAAAGGTTTGTAATATGTTTTTACACTTCTAAAACACTTATTCAACACAGTGGGAATGTGTTTATTTGCTATGGTTTTGTAGCAGTAATTTCTTATTTCATTGTGTTTCTATGCATATGCTAAGATAAGTACATTTCAAAAAGTATTTTCATCTTTCATGTTGTGTTTTTATGTGAAAATCAAAAATAAACTTTTTTTAAAGCAGTCTTAATTTTATTTTGTTTGACTAATTTACATTAAAAGCTACACTTGGCTTACACATTTAATGTGTAAAAACAACACATTTTAGCATTAAGCTAACTAACACAATTTGTGCGTTAAAATTGCTTACACATCTTTAACACATTTTAGCGTTGGGTTAGCTAACACAATTTGTGTGTTAAAATGGCTCACACATTTAATGTGTTGAAATTAACTCAACATGTGTTGTCCCTGATCACACTCCGCACATGTGTTAAAAAATAACACAACATGTGTCATTTTTGACACATGTGTTTTTGCTGTGTACAGCTGATAACCTTTACTTATTATTACAGTCAGGTCTCCATATACAATATATGATATCGACAAGCACGTGAGGATGTGTTACGGTTGCTAACAGGCACCAGAATTAAAATAAATAATTAAACAAGTATGAACTCTAACGCGATATCTTCATCCATCGTCACCCGCGATCTACACATGCAGGGAAATCTGTCCGACTTATATGCCGGCGCGTGTAGACGCAGCGACCTCACGCTCTCCTGAAAATGCGGTGTTTTGTTTGTCAAGTAAGTGTCTTTCTGCAAGTATTTCTTGCCAGTCCACGTTGGAATATGTGTACAGTCGTCAGGCTCTCTTACACATTCGGAGAAGCAAGATCTGCCAAGTTTTGAACACTAACGTTGAGGTGTTAAGGGAAATAGGACTTCTGCAACAGCCTGCTAGCTGGCCTAGCAACCCACAGGACTCGCCTGCTACCCCTCGCTGGGCAAGGAGACATCGAAAGCGGTGTGCTAGGACAAGGAAGCGGGGCAAGCGCGGAGGTGTCCGAGCCAGGCTTGATGCCAAGCCAACTCGCCCAGCCATACCGTCGCTCCTCTTGGCCAACGTACGATCTCTGGACAATAAAATGGACAGCATACGACTTCTGAGATCAGCGAATCGCAGAGTAAATGACTGTTGTGTGCTTGTTTTCATTGAGACATGGCTTAATGACAACATTCCGGACTCGGCCATACAGCTGGAGCAGCTAGCATGCTACAGAGCCGACAGGGCTCTCGTAGACGGAGGCAAGACCCGAGGTGGGGGGGTCTGTGTTTACATCCGTGACGAGTGGTGTCGTGATGCCACTGTAGTACGCAAACACTGCTCATCACTGGCGGAGTTCATGATCGTGAAGTGTCGCCCCTTCTACTTGCCCAGGGAGGTAAGTTCGATCTTGTTGGTCGCTACTTATATACCTCCATCTAGCAACAACAGCGATAGAAATGCGGCGCTGAACGAATTGTATCAGGCCATCAGTGAGCAACAAACAGCACACCCAGATGGTTTCATCATCCTCGCAGGAGACTTTAATCACGCTGATCTTAAAACTGTTCTCCCAAAGTTTCATCAGCATGTACATTTTCCAACAAGGGGAGAAAACATACTGGACCTGGTCTACACACAGGAAAAAGGAGCATACAAAGCCATTCCCCTCCCCCATATCGGCACCTCTGATCACCTCACTGTGATGCTAATGCCAGCATACAGACAGAGAGTGAAGGTTGTCAAACCGGTTATGAAAAAGGTAAGAGTGTGGCCACAGGGGGCCACCTCTGCTCTTCAAGACTGCTTTGGGTCAACTGATTGGGACATATTCAGGGAAGCAGCCACCTACAACAACATCATAGACATCGAGGAGTACACAGATACGGCGAGCTCATACATCACCAAATGCATTGATGACGTAACACAAGTGAAAAGCATCACAACTCGAGCAAACCGGAAGCCATGGCTCACAGGAGATGTCCTCAGGCTGCTAAAGGCCAGAGACAAGGCCTTCAGAGCTGGGGATGAAATAGGCCTGAGAACAGCGAGAGCAAACCTGTCCCGCGGCATCAGGAAAGCGAAACAGGACTACACACACAAGATAACCTCCCACTTCAATGACAGCAAGGACACACGGAGCCTATGGCAAGGCATCCAGGCTATTACAGACTACAAGCCTGCAGCGCGTAGCTGTGAGAACGACACCACTCTGCTTAACAACCTGAACAGCTTATTTGCACGATTTGAGAAACAGAACAACACACGCCCACAGAAAACACCACCACCTCCACACGACCAGCCTCTGTGCCTGTCTGTTCCCAGCGTGAAGAGGACACTCATCACCATCAACGCCCGGAAAGCAGCAGGTCCGGACAACATCCCTGGTAGTGTGCTGAAAGACTGCGCAGAGGAGCTGAAGAATGTCTTCACAGACATCTTTAACACCTCGCTGAGGCAAGCCACTGTCCCATCATGTTTCAAGACGGCCACCATCATACCTGTACCAAAGAAACCATCCCCAGCTTGTTTCAATGACTACCGCCCCGTGGCACTGACACCCATTATTATGAAGTGCTTTGAACGACTAGTCATGTCACACATCAAATCCACCCTACCCCCCACTCTGGACCCATACCAGTTCGCATACAGAGCAAAACGATCCACAGAGGATGCAATCTGCTCTGCCCTCCACCCAGCCCTAACTCATCTGGACAAGAAAGACTCATATGTGAGAATGCTGTTCATAGACTTTAGCTCAGCATTCAACACCATAATACCACAACAACTCATCTGTAAACTGGACAGACTGGGCCTCAGCACCTCCCTTTGCAACTGGCTGCTGGATTTCCTCAGCCAGAGGCTGCAAGTGGTGCGTGTGGGCAACAAGGTCTCAAACAGCATCACCCTGAGCACGGGGGCTCCACAAGGCTGTGTGCTCAGTCCTCTGCTCTTTACCCTGCTGACACATGACTGCGCACCAACCTACAGCTCCAACCACCTTGTGAAGTTTGCGGACGACACAACGCTGGTAGGACTCATCACCAAGGACGATGAGACCCACTACAGGAAAGAGGTTGAGCTCCTGACCACTTGGTGCAGAGACAACAACCTCCAGCTAAATGTTAGTAAGACCAAGGAGATCATTGTCAACTTCCAGAGAGGCCACAACAACTACCCCCCATTGGCCATCGACGGTGCTGCGGTGGAGAGAGTGAGCAGCACGAAGTTCCTGGGGGTGCACATCAGGGAGGACCTCTCCTGGACCACCAACACAGCTTCACTGGCCAAGAAAGCACAACAGCGCCTCTACTTCCTGCGCAAACTCAAGCGGGCAAGTGCTCCACCACCCATCCTGATCACATTCTACAGAGGAACTATTGAAAGCATCCTCTCCAGCTGTATCACTGTGTGGGGCGGTAGCTGCACTGACTATAGCAGGAAAGCTCTACAGCGCATTGTGAGAACAGCTGAGAGGATAGTTGGTGCACCACTCCCCTCCCTGCAAGACATTTACACCACTCGCCTCACCCGCAAAGCCATCACAATTGTCAACGATGCCACCCACCCTGCGCACTGTCTGTTCAGCCTCCTGCCCTCTGGAAAGAGATACAGAAGTCTCCGCTCCCGCACTACCAGGCTCACCAACAGTTTTGTCCACCAGGCTGTGAGACTGCTGAACTCTCTTCCCTCACAGATCCCAGCCAGCAGAATCACTAGGGTGACAGGGGTATAGGGTGACAGACTGGACCCTACACCCCACCCCACACACACTCACACACACACACACACCACACCCCACACACGCACACACACACACACACCCACACACACACACACACACACACACACACACACACACACACACTATACAAAAAGGAAATAGTGGTTGAACCAATAATAGGGTAAACATTTCTGATTGTAAACAACTACCTCTGCATAGAAATTGCACACACCTTCTGCTATATGTTTTGTACATTATTAGCGATATTTACCTGTTTAATATTATCTTATTGTTAGGGATGTTTTTTGTTTTGTTATTGTTGTGCATCTGCACTTTATGTAAATGTCTATGCATGGGACAGTGTGAAACGTAATTTCAATTCCTCATATGGCAAGCACATTCGAAGAATTGACAAATAAAGTATTCTATTCTATTCTATTCAGCCACTCCCCCTGCTGCGTTCGTCTGCTCTTGTCTGCTTTCCAGGCGAGGCGCTGCTCAACTCGAACAAGGCCATTGATTGCTCTGGTTTGAATATGGAAAGATTTTTCCCAGCATGCACTGCTTCAGCTCTGACCAGAAGCCTCGAGGTTCTGATGGATGGAGAATCAACCTAAGAGACGTAGTCACCTGTCACATTCAAGGGGAGGGGCATCACTCACTCTGTCCCTTCCTTTAAGCCGGGCGTACACTGTGCGACTTTTTCACTTTTTTGAGCCGATTTTCCAGTCGTGCGAGAAGCCACGAGATCGGGGCGAGTTTTGCGCCGAGCGGTCGTGTAGTGTACAGGGGGTTACGAGAGGCGATTAACACCACGTGACCAGCCGCTGATCAGCAGTCGTGAGGTCGCAGGGACTTCTGGTGTGTTTAATATTTCACTCGTCCCTCGTGAGGGTATCGCACCGTTGAAGCGGCGCTGCGAGCAGGTGTGAGCAGCTGCGAGCAGCTACGATCCAAAAAGTATCAGAACCGCTCACGGCGCATGCGCGCGCAATCCTGCATCAACGCCGGCCGGTCGCTCGCTATTTCCCTAATAACACACGCTGTTCGTTTTTGTTTCTACACGTTTTTTTACTCACAAAGATTGTCAAGAAAGCGTGTTTGTCGTGTTCATGTCAAATTAAACTGATCACAAAACACAGATTCACTTTCTTTATTTCGTTTTCCTCATCCAACCCCCATAAATCCCTGTGTGTCCTCCTGCAGCACTCCCGAAGGACAACAGGCAAGACAAAAAAGTCTGACGTGTTGAGTAAAAACTGCTATTTTTAGCACATTTTTAGGGCTGACGTGTTGCTACCAGACGTACAGTGTGAGCAGTCAGGTCGCATGCGAGAACTGGGTCGTGCAGTGTGAGCACATGACTCGTGAGATCTGCTCTGCGAGGAAGTCGTACAGTTTGAGCTGAAGCTGAACGCTGCGAGTGAAAAAGTCGCACAGTGTACGCCCGGCTTTAGGCACTGCACCTGTGTTGGTGGCCATTGCAACCACAGCCTGTTGGCCTGAAGGGTTGTGGTGTCAGGTCAAGGGATAAAGAGCTGCTTATCATGTTCTGAACTTACCGTAGATATTTATGAAATACAAAGATTAATTCTTTCCAAAGTGCTTTTATTTTATTTGCCTGCTTTCTTCCACTTTTCCTCCTAATTCTGCATTCCTTTTGTAATCTCATCCTGAATCCTCACCCTTTTCCTGTTTCACACTAGCCTGCTTTCTCTGTGTTTGTCTGACCTGTTCCAGGGCTGATCTGGTTGTCATAAAGGTGGATGTCATCTCCGTAGGCCATCGGTAAGTCCTGTCCCTCCTCTCGACCCTCGCTGCCCTCCTCTTGCTCTGCCTCCTGCTGCTCTGGGAGGCAAAATGGCACAGAGTCACACTACCAACAAAGCACAATTTAAATGAAAGTCTTTTGCAAACAAAAACAAAAAATATAAAAAATAAAAAAGAACGACAACATGGAATTAGAAATAACGCACAGCAAGAACACACCTAAGATGTTCAAAAAATATACGTTACAACACATGGGTTACCTATGGGTTACAATACCTAGTGAGCATAATAATTTATAGTTGATGCTGCAATGTGCAGAATGTTGTATTAATAGAGTTGTGATGTCATAAGGTTGGGATTAGATCATTTCAGATGTCCGCCCTGAGCTCCAAACTCAGAGATGTGCAGCTAAAATTTTCCTGACAGGTTTTATAAGGTTGACTTTGAGAGCTTTTGTTTTTAGAGTTGTAAATCTATTTTCAGAGATTAAATAAAACTAGGCCACGACTATTCAGGTGGGACTATTTTTAGCTTTTCCACTGAAACTTAAAGACAGTTTTTCAGCACGTTCCTGTGATGAAACTTGACAAGTGAAGCTTAGAACACAAACGTCTTCCACTGTGAAAATAATCCAGGTGAGCTCTAAAAGTCAAACATTTTGCAGCATCACACTTATGTCATGCTGCAAAAGTAATAAAGGGTGGGGGACATTGAGTCTGAATGGGCCTTGTTCTGTTCTGAGGCGGCTGTCCTTCCCTTCTTCTTCCGGCACTCACAGGGAACAGTCGCTTCTGCCTTGCTCCCTTATCTGTATTTTCCCAAGGCTCTTTTTGTCCCGTCTGCCTACAGAGCGCTTCTCTGCATTTCCTCTGCAATCACTATTTTTCAGCATGGATTTAATTAATTGGTCATTCAATGCGATTGATAAGATTTTTTCTACAATGCGGACGGAGGAGGGGGCTCGCGCTTGCCCTCAAGGGACACACACAGCGGGATATATGTTCGATTCCTGGAAGAAGTGGAATATCATCTGTCTCTCTCAGCTGTCCATTGAGGACGTCGAAGCTATGTGGATATTTGGCCTGATGATCGCTGGATTTCTTCTGATTGGAGTGGGAGGATATCTGGCTTTCCGTAAAATTGGGATGACGGGAGCGATTGGAAGGCGACCCGCAACCATGGACGGCACCGTCCGTGTGGATACCTCACAGACTGGGACGTTGCTCGAGGTGAATCGCAAGCTGGACAATGTCTTAGCTGCGTTACCGGTGTTAGCGCGCAGGATTGATAACATCTCGGAAAGGGTCACCGGACGGTGTGGAGATGTTTAATCACTGAATTGGCTTCACTGGAGGACTTGAATGATCAATACAGATGTTGAGGGTCTGACCTCATGAGGAAATTACTATGCAGTGATTTTCTCCAAAATGACTGTGCTTAAATTGCTCTGAAAAGCAAATAATCACATCAGCGCCAAGAAACTTCATTTCCCATGATGCTTTGCACACGGAAGCATTGTGATGACGTCACCGCCTAATACCAGAAACACGTTCTGCGCATGTGCGGGAGGCCGTGGAGCTTTTCCCGCGAACTAAGACCATAAATCTTCAGCAGAGACAAAGAAACCTCGTTCTTTTGCCCAGGATACCTGGCGGTAAGGACACGCTTGTCGAACGCTCCGACAACTTGAGCACGCGGAAGCTCTAAGTGCCCAAGTTGAGCCACGCAACCGCTGGAAACCACTCCAACTCCCATCGGGACCTGACTGGGAACGAGCGGAGCTCCATCCAGCTCTCAGAGACGCTGTAAGTTGTCAAACTCAGCCCAAAAGAAACTTCGTTCTCTTTGTGTCCAGCCCGTGGAGAAACACTCGTGGAGCCAAACAACGGAGAAAGCATCAAACCGACGGATGACGCTGAAAACTGCGGAGAAACACGGAGAACCGTCAAATCAAAACAGTGAGGGACGCCTCGCTCTTCTGGTGATCAGAAAACTCATTTCTCTCTCTCCTTTTCTTCTCCCGTTTCCTCTATAGTCCAGAATAAGCAATAAAACCGCGCTATTGCTTAAAAAGTAGCTTCGTGTTTTCCTCTTTCGCTCTCAAAACACGTCCGCCGGGTCATTTTGAAAGAATAAACTGCTTATTGATCATCGTTAATATCTTTAGTCGTCAGCTCTGGCCATGCTGCCGACTCCTTTTAGATTAAATAATTTACAAGTGACCTTTTGTTGTTTGTTAACTTTTGAAGTGTTTGAGTTAAGTTTTACTGTGATTCTAAGCCACTAAGTGTTCGGGAAAGTAGAAAACTTTACACATCCAGGTCTCCTGTTGAATGCGAGGGGAGGGGAAGAGCCCCACACACACTCACAGCTCACTCCCCCCACCTACTCTGGGGAAACAAAGACCCATTCATCTCTCACACACACACACACACACTCACTCACACACACCACACAAACACCTTGAACATTATTTTGAATATACATCCTTTTATTATATCACATGGTTATTATTCATTTATGCCACTGTTTATTCATTTGACAAATTGTTAATTAAACGTTATAAAATTCAGATTTTCGTCTCCAGTAGCTTTGTTGTGTCGAAGAGAAGTCTCTGCTCCGAGGATTCTATGAACTTCAAGAAAGACTGATAAGAGTTTTGGATTCAATTTTCCCCAGTTAAAGGGGAATGGTGCCCCGTATATCTAAGAATATCTTAATTAATTAATAAATCAGTAAATATTCCCATATTTACAGAATTTATTGAAGAATCCAAAAGTAAGTTAAAGCTTACGAATTGTTCGCTCCTAATAACCCCAACACAGACTTAAGGCAGAGAGGAAAAATTATCTCTGCCTGACCCAAACAAAATTCTGTTATCGAATCTGACGCCATAAGCAGCCTTGGAGTTGCATGCAAAAAACCCCCACGATGGAAGGAATGCAGACAAATGCTGTGACACTCTATCCCCCCCACCCCCCCACCCCCGCCTTCAGATTGTGGTCTCTAGCGAGTTCATTACGTTGAAGGAACTCTCTGCTCTCTGTGCTTCCTCATGACCTCCCTACCGCCTGCGGATTCAGCTGGTTGAGCGCCACACAGGCAGCCCCCTCTGAGGAAACCAGGATCCCAGCCCCTCCTTCCTACCTACTGGGTCTCATGTTGTGAACTGTGACGTTCGTGCTTACATGTCGGGCGTTTTTTTTGCATTAGAGTGCTACACCCTGCTGGTGTAACCCTGTTAATGCCTTTTTTTCTCCCTCCCCTGAGCTTTCCTCATGTATTCCCTCATTCATCTACAAAAGGAGCGCCGTCATGGCTGCTCCCATGGTCTGCCTGTATCTGTCCTGTCTATATGTGTGTGTGTAACCTTGGTCAGGTTGTACTATGGAGTCAAGTTCCTATGCTCTGATCTGGAGCGCTGGCAATAAAATTCATTCAGATTCTGATTCTTCTGTTGCTAGTCGTGGTCACAAGGCGGCCGTCCCCAAGTTTTCATTTTTGGGTGGGCCACGGTAATTTTGGAGGGACCTTAATAAGCAGTGACTTAAGTGAAGCAGGCAGGTCGCGCTAGAAAATTTCGTTTAAAAAGACGTCATAAATTTTTCCCCCGTCATTTTTATTTCTAAAATATGAAGTAAAAACTCCCAATTTAATTTTCAGTCATTTTTCATTTATAGGCACCAAAATGCATTACCTGCACTTCTAATATTTACCTCTCAACGTAGGACTCTTTCATAAGGGTACATGCACACCAGTAGTTTTTACGGTTATTCATGGGGCAAAATCTCCAACATTTAAAAAAATAAAAAATAAAATCCATCTTCCAGTAAAAGCAAAGCATCCAGCCCACCTCTCCAAATGCGTAAAATGAGCATCGCAGCCGCTAGGCGCGCACCATCAGCTACGTCAGCCCAGACAAGGGCAGAGCAAATAGAGAAAGAATAGAGGATAATTCTGTCTGGATGTGGATGGAGATTACATTTTACATCAGCCTGATCATCATTTAAATACGTAAACCATCACCTGGCTTCTAGTCCACGCTATCAGCATTATTTTAATTGGTGTGTGAGCATTTGTGTTTGTGTGTGTGTGTGTGTGTGTGTTTTCCACATCAAACACTGGTCTAACCAACCAGACCAGCGTACCCAGTAACATATTAATGTAACAATTAAACAGTTACACTTCATGTGGGCTAGGAACATTTCACCTGCCGTGGCCCGACCGCTTCTGCTCCACATAAACTTTGTGCGTGATCAAATGTCTCTACAGGAGCTTTCTGAGCTGAAGAGCTATTCTGCCTCAGACTGGATGCGTCATGCGTCTCCATATTAGAGACGGGAACAAGCGCTATTCAGCCAAAGTTTCATCATCAGCGAACATTTTTCCAAGTGACACATCCCTCAGAGAGACCGGGTTTCCAGACCGTTTCAGTGGGAGGAAATCATACCGCATGCTTCGTGGTTCTGCGCTGCGAACCCCTCTACAGATCTTTAGCACACTGTCCACCGTGTGCGCTCCGATCCGCGCAGAGCACAGTAACCAGTATAAAGCTCTGATGTTCTGATGGGAATCATTTATTGATTGTTTTAGGCCTCGTCCACACGTAGCCGGGTTTTTAAAAAAACGAATATCCGCCCCTCCAAAAACTTGCATCCACATCACCTCGTTTAAAAAAAATCTCTGTCCACACGTACCCGGATAAATATGTTGACATGCCAGACCTGTAGGCGGCAGTACTTCCCCCGTTCTTAACCTCGTCCTTCGTCTGTGGTCTTCCGTAAGGAGAAGTAATTCCGCTTGCAAAAACAAACAAGCAAAAAGCGCTTGGACAAATGATAAAGCGAGCGCAGCTCTGAGGGCATCCATGCTGTCGGCTAGTGTAAACACAGGTCGCACACGTGATGTCAGCATTTTTTTGTCGCGGAAAGTGACGCTGCGGACCTTAAAACTCCGGTTTTGTCTGGTCCACACGCAGACACCCAAAACGGAGAAAACGCGGATCTTCACTTTGGCCGGAGTTTTTAAAAAGATCCGTTTTCGTGTGAAAAAACTCAGTTTTCATGTGGATGACAGGC